ACCGGAGTTGGTCAGAACTGCTGTGATGGGTCTCCCATTGGAGTTTTTCAGGTCGACTGTGACAGCAAAACAAGCAATGCTGAACATCAGGCGGCAGCACAAGTCAACTTGGATAACGCTGGTGAGAAACCCTACATGTGTGGGGAGTGTGGGTACAGGGCAGCTTACAAGTCTACCTTATCCCAACACATGAGAACCCATACAGGAGAGAAGCCCTACATGTGTGGGGAGTGTGGGTACAGAACAGCTAACAAGTCTCACTTATCCCAACACATGAGAACCCATACAGGAGAAAACCCTACAAGTGTGACCAGTGTGACTATTCTGCAGCAGAGAAATCCAATTTGGACAGACATGTACGAAAACACACCGGTGAGAAACCCTACATGTGTGGGGAGTGTGGGTACAGGGCAGCTGTAAAGTCTCACTTATCCCAACATATGAGAGCCCACACATCAGAAAAACCCTACAAGTGTGACCAGTGTAGCTATTCTGCAGCCTCTAAGACTTCCCTAACTCGACATATGAAAATCCATACAGAGGCACCAACTCTGCAACTGTGTCCATCTCGTAGTGACATTTAGTTCGCACAATCCTGTATAGTTTCTCTATACTACTGTATTACTATTTCCAACGAGGTTTAAAATGCAAACCTTCTTGCTATTTCGAAAACAGTTAGGCTAAATATTCTTATGAAAATTATAATACATGTACAGTACTTCCAAATAGGCAAAGCTATATCCAGAGCATGCGCTGTATTATTAATTACTATAAAACAATGGTTGTCATAAGAATAATTTTTAGTTTAGTATTACATGTACTTAGCCCATATACAAATATTCTAGTATCAAAAATTATGAACAAAAAAACTTTTTGATAACTACATGTATCTAGGATTGTACTGAAATAACAACTTGATGCATTAATTGTATAATGCAGATATACATAGAGTAGTGATTACTCCCTTATTATTATTATATGTAAATAATTGTACACATTAGTTGAAAGGTAGGTTGTTCTGTTAGCGTTGCGTTTTCTCGAAAGTGCTATGTTTGATTTCCTAGTAGTTTACTTTGACGAAGTGTGTACAAATGTACATTCTATGGCCAAATGAAGAAATCATACAGATTTAAAAGCTTTCAATGTTAATATAAGGTTTATAGAAAACAAGGTTTAAAGAGTTAAAATTTCTCCAAGTTTTACAATTTAAATTTCTCAATTTTGGCCATAGAAGTGTGTACCTATTTGTCATGCAAACAAATATCTTCTGACTAATATCAACGGTCTTAACTGAGATATGGATTAAAAATACCAAAAAGCCGACTGTTTTGCATCCGGTAAATGATTAACGTAATTTAGTTTATATAAAAATAGAAGGAAGTAATATTACAGTAGTCGTTATGTTGTATAAAAGTTCCTGTTTGTTTTTTTTTTTCGAATATGTATCTACAGATATTTCCACCCATATAATTAAATGGTTTGGTCCCTTGAACATAATGTCTCCTTCTGTGTTGCCTTTTTCTTGGATGGAATGTTGCCAGGGGAGGTGAGTTGATCATAAAACACAGAAATTAAGATATAAACCTAACAGTTTGGCTGGATATTAAAATGTCAGACGCCTGTTACGTTGTTTAGGTAGTCGGTTTTAACGCAGAACGTTGACATTATGAAGACAGCTTAACGTTCAAACCGACGCCAAATGTACAATGTGGGTAATCAGGTCGACAATTTCACCCTTGACCCAGATCGAGTTCACCTCTGACCTCGTGAGACAACAGAAGGACAAAGCTGCCCGAGTTCCGGTTTACGTGAAGATAAAAACCATCATAGGAAGCAGGTAAGGCTTAGAAACGGACAGAAAAGTATTCTGATGTCGAGGGGAATAACTTGTGACCATTTCTGTGGAAGAAACATCGTACTAGGACGATATCTTGTAGACATTTTCGTTATGTGAATATTGTGGAATTGAAGGGGGGAGGGGGGGGGCGAAACATAAACATACGTTCGACCCACGCCACCCGGCCAGACGCTACGTAAACAAACATGGCCGCGTTTTGTAGTGATTTCTTGTTCCCTGGGCCACGTATAAGTTATGTTATAACTGTTATATAGGTACATTTCACTGCTCTTCTGTGATCGCGCTAAACAAACATGTTGCTTTAAGCTATGTAAACAAACATGGTGACTGGCCGGGTTGCCTCCGTCGATTGCCGACTCATTATAAGTTTTTAGTGATTCTTCTTGTTCCCTGGGCTACATTTAAGTTATCTTTTGCCAAAATACAGCGACTTGGACTGTTATCTCATCAATGCAGGGTGTATTCCAAAAGATGTAAGCCTCCTATATGTGTTTTCAGGTAAATAGGCAGACCGGCCACCTACTAGTACATGTACGTCATGCTGTATCAGGCAAAGCGGCCTTTTTGGGAGGCCATGGAATGTTATAGAAAAAAACAGTAATTTGAACTGGATTGTAAATAAACGCAATGTGGGGTTCTGTGGCGTATTACGGCTGGGCATTAATCGGCTTAGAAGCAAGAGGTCTGGGGTTCGAATCCTGCCAAGTCACCGACCCCGTTTGTCCTTGGGAAAGGCACTCTTCACGACTTTCCTCACTTTGCTCAGGTGAAAATGAGTACGTTAGAATGATCATTTTGATGATAGTGGGCATAAAAGCTAAACAAACCAACCAACCATAAGGCATACATTACAAATCTAGAAAAATCTGATTTGTGAAAACAGCGAATGGATAAGACTAAAACAAAACCTAAAATGCCAAGTCTCTTTCCAACCTAATTTTATCATTGGCAGCTTTTAACGCTTAATTTTGATAATTTCTTCCTTTTCTAATTAGGCTGAACATGGCAACGACAGGACAAGGGTCTCCCACCGGAGTTGCCGAGAACTTAGATGATGGGTCTCCCACCGGGGTTTCCCAGGTCGACTGCAACAGCAAAACAAGCAATGCTGAAGACCAGGTGGCAGCACAAGTCAACTTGAATAATGCTGGTGAGAAACCCTACATGTGTGGGGAGTGTGGGTACAGGACAGCTAAAAAGTCTTACTTATCTCAGCATATGAGAACCCATACAGGAGAAAAACCCTACAAGTGTGACCAGTGTGACTATTCTGCAGCAGAGAAATCCAATTTGGACACACATGTACGAAAACACACCGGTGAGAAACCCTACATGTGTGGGGAGTGTGGATACAGGGCAGCTGTAAAGTCTCACTTATCCCAGCATATGAGAACCCATACAGGAGAAAAACCCTACAAGTGTGACCAGTGTGACTATTCTGCAGCAGAGAAATCCAATTTGGACAGACATGTAACGAAAACACACCGGTGAACGAAACCCTACATGTGGTGGGGAGTGTGGATACGAGGGCAGCTAATAAAGTCTCACTTACTCCCAACATATGAGAACCCATACAGGAGAAAAACCCTACAAGTGTGACCAGTGTGACTATTCTGCTGCGCAGAAAGTTCATTTGGAC